ATCATCATCATCATCATCATCATCATCATCATCATCATCATCATCATCATCATCATCATCAACAGCAACGTAAACGATAACATCAACAATAATAAAACACGACATGATGATACGTCTGTTTCTGTGAACGTTATCCACGTTCATTACGACATAAAGTCAGAATATACACCAGTTGCTGTTTTGTTCAGAGGCTGCAGCAAGGGCGAAAGTAGCGGAGGAGGCAAGACTCCGGAAGGAGAGAGAGCAGAGGGAAAAGGAAAGGAAGGAGGAAAAACAGAAGAAAGAGGAGGCAAAGAAGCAGCAGCTCACGGGCGGAGGAAAATGAGGAGGAGTTGTGTTCTCTAGATTCCTTCTTTTTCAGTTCTATTTATTAATGTGCCCTATTTTCCCGGGCTAGAGGGTGCATTGTTTGCTAACTTAATGATAATAATAATGAAGATCATTTCTATAGCGCCCACTCTCGTGTGAATAACACAGCTCTAGACGCTTTACATAAAGTTGATACAAATATTGATAATATTATTGTACTGTAATACATGTCTACCTGTATTTATATTGCTGACTTATTTGTCCTCCATTTCCTCATAATAAATTTAAAAATTACACGTTATTTTTCTTTATATTATTAGGCTATAATTGTGTTAAGAGAGAAAAAAAAAAACTTGTTCATTTCACAACTGTATTTTAACAAATTTGCTTCGTTCTCTAATAATAATAAAAACTGGAGAAAGACTAAATGTTTTCTTCTTCTGTATTATGCCCGTTAATAGCGCTGAAGATTAGAGATGTTTTTAGGGAGTATCATACAAAGAAAGGAAGGATCTAGGAGAGAAAAGGAAGATAGATATGTAGTTGAAAGGAAAGGAGGTGCACACACCAGAACACCCGCCAACCACTGACATTAAAGTCATTCTACTAGTTTAAACTTTATACCCCCCAGTTTTTCAGTCAAATTTTTAACTAACAGCAGCCTACCAGCTAAAATTTGTCTCCTGGATCACATGATTCCACACACGGAAATGAGCAGTTTAAGAATGCTATTGTGAAGTTTTTGTTTTAGTAAGCGTTTTATGGCCCTTGCAACAGAATAAGGTCATATACGTACCGACCGAAGATTACAAGTGTTACAAGAGTGTAACAAACACAAAAAAGAAGGAGGAGAGATAAAGACAATTGTTGTTTGATGGAAAAGAGGGAGAAAACCTCATCAGAGCACCCGCCAACCACCCTAAGTGATCAGAAAAAGAAATCATGAAAACAAAAAATATGGTATTGTCCTATTTTACATAGCACAAAGAAGACTGTGTTTTGAGAACTTAGTTTAATTTTCATTCAAATCAAGTACAATTTTGGCATATCAGGCACATTCTCAATAATTTTGCGACATTTATATACAAAACCCAGCCAACCACTGAAAGAAAGAAAAAAACATCACCCTCTTTGTTAATGCAGCATAATAAGAAGAGAATCTACAAAAGAAAGAAGAAAAAAATAATAATATGCCGCGAAAAAATTCTTAGATCAATAGGCCTACTGTTTTCAGGGGTGTTTCAGCCAGTCACATCAGGGTATGATAAAGCTATACTAAAACTTGAAAAACAGCTTGTGAGTGAAGTACATTTGCCACTTATTACTTTCACCCATATCCACAATTACAACTATGAATATTCATTTTAATTGTTTTTATCTGAATTACAATGCACACATCATGCCAAGAAAGACATGCCTTCAACAAGCTTTGTGAAACTAGCAACATTGTCCGGAACGTATGCTGACTGACTTGAGAAGACGTTATGATCATAAATTCTGCAGTAAGAACTCTTTGTGTTTATGTGAGCTGTGAGGCAGTGACAGATAACATTCACCACGATTTGTTGTAGTACAAACTTTGTTAGCTGCATCTCTGAAAATAAGACAAAATCTTTTCAATAAACAAAGAGAGACCACCTTGGGTTGGAATGTTTGACACTCTGAGAAGGTCATCAGGAATGATCAGAATTAATACGAAGAACATGCAGAGAAGGATGGGAGAAGATAAATATGGAGAGAGGAGAGAGAGAGAGAGAGAGAGAGAGAGAGAGAGAGAGGGGGGGGGGAGAGAGACAAGAGAGACAGAGAGAGAGAGAGACAGAGAGAGAGAGAGAGAGAGAGAGAGAGAGAGAGAGAGAGAGAGAGAGAGAGAGAGAGAGAGGGAGAGAAAGGGGGAAAGAGAGAGAGAGAGGGAGAGAGAGAGAGAAAGAAAGAGAGAGAGAGAGAAGGGAGGGGGAGGAGAGGGGGAGGGGAGGGGGAAGGGAGGGGGAGGGGGCAGATGGAAAGAGGAAGAGATGGAAGGAGAAAGAGAGAGAGAAAGATGCATGTAGATATATTGCGGATGAAAAAATGGATAAACTGCCAGCATGAAATGCACACAAACAAACTGACAGACTGACTGGCTGATAGAACAAGGTCAGCCAGAAAAAACTAGACTGCAGCTGAAGATAAAGAAAGGGAGTAGCGTCCTGGTGAGCTTGAAATACAACGAAAACAAAGGCTGAGACAGTAAAAAAAAAAAGTTTTCGGAAAACGTGACTTGAAACATTCTTTCTGAAGTTATGTTCTGAAACAATGTTCACAAAAAAAAAATAATGTCTTTTTCAAGTAAAAAACAAAAGACAACAGTGCATGGACAGCATTACTGAATTTTTGGCATAGTTTTCTCTTTACTTTTAGCTGATTCCCTGAAGAAGTAAACATATCTGTAAACTAACTTTGGCTCTTCGACAAGACATGGTAAAATATGTAAGGAATTCTATGAAAACATAGAACTCTTGTAATAGTAATAATACAAACACATCATTTTAAAGTATAGTAATAAATACTTCTTTCAAAAAAGACAATTCAGTCCTGGAAATAGAAATAAAGCTACAACCATGAGCAAAGATCTCTTTTGTTAAAATTTTATAACATTGGCGTGTCATGGTAGATACAGTTGAAGTAAATGTGTATATATGTACGACATTTTAAAATTCATATTTGATGACCCCACATTTGATGATTTTGATTTCAGCATTTGGCCTCTCGTTCATTGTGTCTTGTTCTTCCATCTTTTTCAAGACCTCTGTACCTTCAATAACTTTCCTGTTGAGGAAAACAATAAAAAGCATTGAAAAGGTCACCAAGTATGTTTTTCAAACAAAAGATTCCTGATACCTGAAACAAATCACAGTCAAAAAGAGAACTGTAAGGTCAAATTGAAACATATACACACAACCTGTAGAATCATCACTTATCTTTAAAAAAAAAAAAAAATTTTTTTTTTTTTAAGATTTTCAAAATCCTCCGGTTGTTATCCTGAGATCAATGATAGAAATGTCTGATTTGTTGTATACATTTCATGCTTTTACATACACAACTGCAAAAATGTCTGTTTAACAGTAGAAATTTCATGCATTTATCTACACAACAGCAGTTTGTGGCACACATTTCCTGCGCAACAGCAGATATGTTTTATACAGACATTTCATGCTTTTATCCACACATTAGCAAAGACGTTCGATTGTGGTATACGTTTTATGCACTTATCCACACTACAACAGCAGAAACATCTGTTTTATCATAAACTTTTCCTGCACATATCAAACCACAATTTAAGTCCACCTGAAGACAAGCTGCTTCAGCACTGCCTATCATGGAAAACCCAGCATTTTAAAGTAAATTAGTTACCAGTCGTGAAGTGAACTTTCGCAGAGGTGAACAACTTGTGTTTCGCGCGCTCATATGACCTTAGCAGTTGCGAGCGCCGTAAAACCTTATACTACTACTACTACAATGTTGGATAAATCACAGCTTGTAAAAGGAGATGCTCGATATTTCAAGTCTCATCCTCACATAGGAATTGAACTCAAGTCTTTTGCCTACAAGTGCAAGATAAAATTTTAAAAGCCTTACTTTCACACCACAGACCCTGGTTAGAAAGGGCTTAACAATGCCAAATGATACGAAAGATATTTTGAAAAAAATACCTGTTCAGTATTTTTAAAAATTAAATTTGTTCACTGCCATATCATAGCGCAACACATTTCCAACAAATCTAATCATAAAATAAAAAAATAAAAAAGCTACTTGAGGTTCTAGTTTAAATTGCTAATTTCACACAAAACCTTTCCCCCTAGAGAACAGACAGTCATGTCTTATCAAAATTTAAGAAAAGAAAAACAGTGTGTAGAGAAGACAAAATTCAAACAGTACGCGTTGATTAAAGAATTAACAAAAAAAATCAAACAATAGCACTCACCCAAAAGCCACATATTTCGTGTTCATCCACGGACAAGGCTGCAGTGTGATGTAGAACTGGGATCCGTTGGTGTGTCGACCCTGGTTGGCCATTCCCACAATTCCTCGCTCGTTGTGCTGCATGACGAAGTTTTCATCTGAGAAAAAAAAGTAATAAGTTTTGAGAATTAAAGTAGCAGATCTATGAATTTATATCAAACAGTTTTCAGGAACTGCCTTCTTCTGAAATGTCACAGTTTTTCCTAACTCCAAGAGTTACGGAGGAAAAGTAACATGCAGCAACAGAATAGTATGTGTATTGAGGTAAGCTATTTTGCGATCAAAGACTACAACTGTTTTCACTTTTTAAAAAGGAGTCAATAAAATCAAAATGTTGTCATTTTTTAGACAACAATTAAGTGAGTAAAATAACATACACAACAAAACTGGCTCAAATGGAGGTGTTTTTTTTGTTCATTTATAACCTTGCACATTTTGCAATATTCCAGCATTTACAGAGAAGAGAAACTTTACCTTCAAACACTTTCCCATAAACTGACTCTCCTCCATTGCCACGGCCATGGTATGTGTCTGCAGAAGAAAAAAAAATACAAAGATTGTAATTTTTTAGAATGAAAGAAACCTTCATTTATCAAGAGAATACTCAAAAATAGCTTCTTCTAAAAATGTATGTGAACAAAAAAGCATTTTGTAGCTTACTATTTCATGAAGTTGTGGCCAAATCATTTCTTCCTGATCATGAGCTCAATACTTTAATTTATTACAACTATGATGACCCCAACATGCTTTTGTCAACTGAAGGAATTTATATACCATAAACAGTTTATCGTGAAATTTTAACATTTTAAACCAGCAAGACTATTAAATAAAATCAAGCAGTGCTGTAAACTGTTGTGAATGCAATCAACTTGTTTTCGCACACTTATATGACGCAGTTGCGAGCACTATAAAATTTTTTCTACACGAAGCTATATTATATACAACAGTCACAAAAGAGAAGAGAGTAAAAACTGCCATCAATTTGTTTGAATAGCACAAAACTGAATACCACTACACAAAAACCAGTGTCTCACAGAGAAATCTTGAATAAGTTTAGCATGGACAGTAGACTGAGCAAATACTTCCCCGGCACGCACTGCCCCGTAACACTAACTCTAAAATTAGTTTTTAACAATTTACGGTCCTGTCTACAAGATCAGATAAAATGTGTACGATGAGGGAGAATAAAGCGCTCATCAATTCTTGGGCATACGGGAGTTATTGGTATCATCTTAATATTTGTTTGTTTTTTTTGTTGCTTTTTTCGAAGTTCAGAATTTGAATTTTGAAAAGACATTTCTTGAGCACATGCAACTGATACCCCAGATTAAGAAACTGCAATAAATTTTTCCTAAAGTTCAAAATTTTGGGTGTAGAACATCTGAACATACAGCTAGCTGGGGAAATGTCAGATATGCTCGCACATACAAACCTCCCCCCTGGATCCAGCCATTCTTCACAATACGGTGAAAAATTGTGTCCTTGTACGACTTGCAGCCATCATCTTCTGGTTTTTCTGCTTCCCCTGTGCACAACTGTAAGAAGTTGGCACACGTCCTTGGCACAATATCTGAGTAAAGCTGAAGAATGGAGTACACACAAAATAGTGAAATAATCCAATCATTTTTTAAAAACTGTTTTACAAACAAAGCTGATCAGATATTGCCAGCAACGATATGGACTCCCAGAATTAATTATAAATGACTGTGATGTTCCGAGACATAAAAAGATATGATGTGTATAACTTATTTGGTTCAAAAACTTTCACCTCTTTGCAAAAAAAACAACAACCATATTTTGCCAAATAACAATTATCTTGAATTTAGGAAGCACTTAATATGCTACCCTACAAAAAGGTTCCCTAGTAGCAATATATCCTAAATGTAAGAACAGATTAAAATATTGACTAAAATATAACCTGTTATCATGACATAAAGAGAGTACATTTTCTTTCTTTCATTTTTTTTTTGGTTTTTTTTTTTGCGGAGAGCAAAACCAAAGGTCGGTCAAATTAACTTCTGTACATTTTAACAATAACAAGAGATGACATA